GAATTTCTTTAATTTGTTGTCATCAAATTCAGAATTGTAGTTAGACATTTTTGTTTTAAAATAAAGATTTTGGAAAGATTTTTTTAAAAAATATATAAAAATCAAACGAATAAATCGTAGAGAGCAAAGGAATTTTAAGACATTTTTTATAGACAAGCGACATTTACTTTATTCAATATAAATACATACAACTTTTATTATAACAATAAAAATTTCCAAATATATTTAAAATACGCCGATAAAATTACACTGATAAATCTTTAGCGATAGAGTTATGATTGTGTTCAAAGTACTGCATTGAAACTACAATCATCGAGTAAATCTGCATTATCGAGATTAAGATAGTATTCGTAATCAAAATCTTTTTCATTGTCGACATCTTTATTTGTTAAGTCGATAACTTCTTCATTTTCGACTTGACCATCTTTCAAAATAAAATACCTTGAATAATCATTAAATTGTTTTGCTTCTTCAACATCGTTAAGAAAACTCACCCAACAATTCCCAAAATAGTCACGAGCATCATTTAAGAGAGAAATATATTCTTCGTTTTGTTTCTTCACTTTCATATAAAGTTCTTTGTAATCATGAGCATCATTTAAAAGAGAAATATATTCTTCATTTTGTTTCTTCTCTTTTAAATAAAGTTCTTTATACTTGGCAATTTTTCTTTGATTCTTCACTTTACGTTTTAGTTTTAAAATTTTTTGTTCGTTAAAAATAGATTCATTTGTTTCATATACAAAATCCATTTTTAAGATGCATGCGTATTATTGCAGCTAATCTAATTTTTATATCTTTCAATCGGAGCTGTAATCCGATTTTTTAATTTTTCTTTTTTGTAAAATTCTGATTTGGAAATTTTATAAGTTTTCATTTATAAATTTAAATTTGGAGCTTATCTTTTTTTATTTATAAACAAAAAAAAAAATGGAATCGTCCAAACAATTTAAGGAGCGAAAGAAATACAAGAAAAAAAAAAGAAACTAAGAACGAAAAGAACGTGAGAAAAAGGATGAATTAATCTTAAAATAATCAAAAATGAAATTTTTTTTATATTATCTTTTTTTATTAATAATTAAAAATTAATAGTGAGTGACGATTATGAAAATATATTAAAAGAATAATTTTTTATTTAATGTATATTTTTTTAAATTTATACAAATGGAAAATTCTAAAATCTATATTTACTTGTTTGATAAGAAAACTTTATAAAACTAACAACTAAATAAATATAATGTAAATAAAACGTTGGCTTGTCGGTTGAAGAAGACAAACTAATAATTATAAACTAATTTCAAGAAACTTTCGTATTCAAATAGAAGTTTTGTTAAACAATCTGTTAAAATTAAATTAACAATTTACAAAATATCTTTTTAACAAAGTATCAAATTTATCAGCTTCAATTAAAAGAAGCTATAAAATGTTCTTTCTTGTTCAATTCGTTGTTATTCTTGTGAATTCTTGGGTCGT